CTCCCCCCTCCCCTCTCCTCCTGCCCCTCTCACCCCTACCCCTCTCCCCCCTCCCCTCTCCTCCTGCCTGCTCACCCCTGCCTGCTCACTCCTGCCCCTCTCCCCCTCCCCTCTCCTCCTGCCTGCTCACCCTTGTCCCTCTCCTGCCCCTCTCCCCCCTCCCCTCTCCTCCTGCCCTGCTCACCCCTGCCCCGCCTGATCTAGGTGGACAGCCCCTCCCTGACCAAAGGCCCCGGCCAGTCAAGAGTGACCCACCTGTGTGCCATCACACTTTCACTTGTGAACTGCCCCTGCCGCAGGGTCTCCATCGGTGTAAGAGCTTGTGTAAAGGAAGGCCCCGGCTGCCCTGGGCCACCCACCACAGATTCCTGGCACTGATGGCAGAGGTTTGACCCCACTGTGCCCCAGGGTCAAAGGGCCCAGCAGCAGAGGCTTCAGACAGCTGCCCCGGGGACAGGACAACACACTGCCCTCCCACACCTGACAGACACCTGGAAAGGAGCCCCGGGAACACATGGAGACCAGCTCCGCCGGTCTGCTGCTGAGCGGAAGACACATGCACCAGCATAGAGCTTGCGGCTCACGCACGGGAGGCCCGCACTGCCCCGGGAACAGCAGCGGCGCCAGGGCAGCCCCGCCGCAGCAGGAGGCACTCCCGGGCCTCAAGGCCGGCGCAGTTTTCCACACCGAAGATGTGTGAGATTCACGAACCTTACACAAAAATGTCAAACACTCAAACGAGCCTTAAAAACCATTCTGGGATGAAACATGGAATGTGGTTAGGTCTACATGGGCTGCACGTGGAGGACACGTGTCTACAGTGCTGGGCTGCACATAGAGAACGTGTCTACAGTGCCGGGCTGCACGTGGAGGACACGTCCACACGGCTGCTGCACACTGACAGCGTGGACAGAGGCGCGCTCCTCCTGGAAGCCCGCCCACCTCCCGAGAGGTGAACCCACTTTGGATGGAGCGAATGGCCCCGGTGACAGGTGCCGAGGCTGGGGACGGCCCCTCCCGCCTGCATGGCGGCTCCGGCTCAGGCCCGGGGAGCCTCAGCCTGGAGCTCTGGACAGGTGCTGGCCAAACCTGCCCCGCATCTAGGAGGGGAGGGCACCGGAGGGGGGAGGGTGCAGCCCAGGCAGCGGGTGGCCCGAAGGTGCCCGAGGTCCTGGGCAGCTGATTGGCACACAGCACCCCCCCCTCCTGCCAGCAAAGTCCCTGACAGCAGAGACCTCACCAGGGCCTGGCCGTTTCCCGGGCCAGGTGATCCTCAGAAAGCTGGAAGGAGTCGGGAATTGTGGAGCGGAAACAGGACACCTTGTGAGCAGCGCGCTGGCTTCCACGCTACCCACAGCAGAGTGGCCCCCGCCCAGCCCAGAGTGGGAGAGCATCCCGGCAGGCTCTCGGACCCTGAGGCCAGCAGGCCGCTGACACATGCAGCGCCCGTCACTGCTAACCGGCTCAGAGCTGACGGCCTACCTCGAAGCCACCGAAGTCGTCGTCCTCCATCCCGCCGGCGGACCCAAACTCGGGCACTGTGGTGAGGCCAGCTCCTGGGACCTAGAGAACACAGGGCACGCGCCGTGAGTGTGCGCCAGCCCGTGACTGAGGCACACGCTGAACTCGTGAACTGAGGCCCCGAGGGGACAGTGTCTCCTCAGGCTGGAGCAGGGCTCACACCTGGCTGGAAACCACTCCCTTCTTTCTTTAAAAGAGATTGCCTCAGAATGGAGTAATCTATTTCTTAGATTTTTGGTTAAAAAACTAATGTTCTTAGCCAATCCTCTGGGCCTGCTGCTTGCTTTGTGGGAAGATTCAGTTTCTACAATTATGGGAAAATTCAGACTTTTAATTTCTTCAGAAGGCTTTGTAAGTAAAATTTTCCTAGAAAACCTATTTTTAAAAAGTTGGCATACAGTTATTAACAATGTTAGCACTTTTAACTCTGATTTCTCTGCTGCTCTAGTCTTTCCATTTTATATGGATTAAGTAATGCATCATTTACATCGTCTACATTCTATGACCTCTGCTTTGTTTTGCTTTGTATCTAATCACAAAAGTGAGCTGCAATCTGCCACAGCCTCAGCAGGGCCAACAGCTCCTAGGCGAGGGTCTACCCAGTGAGGGAGGGACAAACTCCAGCGTGTTCACAGTGGACAAACAACCGGGGTGACTGGCGTTCGGGAGTGACATGCCCACTTAGTGTTCAGAAACTGCAGTCACCTGGCAGAGAAAGGGTATGTCCATTCACGACACCAACTCTGTCAAGCTTTGAAAGATTGTGCCAGGCAGGGCTGGCAGGATGGCTCTGCATCACAAACACTGGCTGCTCTTCCAGAGACAGGGCTCAGGTCCTAGCACCCCCACGCCGGCTCACCCTGCCCGGTTCCCAGTGGTGGAACACCCTCTTCTGCCCTCCACAGGCACTGCACGAACTTGGTACATAAACATGCACACAGGCAAAGGTGCTACACACCAACAGTGAAAAGTAAATAAAACACATAGTAATCGGCATAAATTATAAGACCAACACAAAAATCCAAAATGTCCAGAATTAAAGCAATGAGGCAGACCCAGAGAGCAGTTACTGTATGAAGGAGGACTCATGTTTACATTTAGTGTGTGTGCTGTGAGGTGTGTGTATGCGTGTGTCACAGCACAAGCGTGGAGGTCACAGAAGCCTCACAGGAGTTGTTCTCCCCCTTCCACTGTGTGGGTTCCAGCCATCAAACCCTGCAGCAAATGCCTTTCCTAAGCCTTCTTGGCAGCCCCCACAACTCTTCATGTAACCCATTTGAAAAGACAACGGATGACATCGTGCATAAGGGTTAACAAGAGGCAGAAGAAAACTAAGAGGAAAGTGAAAAATGCCACTGATTCCAAAAGCAGCGTAAGAGAAATCATTTATGGAGCCATCTGCAAAGCTTACACAACAGGAGAGAACCTGAAGCATGTTCAGGCGAAGGGGTGCACACACATGTTGCATACGAGAGATTGGCATGCACAAAGGCGCGCACACACACACACACACACACACACACAGTATTTCAAAGGAGAAACAAAAGCATCCACTCCTGTACACTGCCAGAAAATCAACCATGTAATTAAAATTCCAAAAAGAAAATGGGGTAAAACAATCCCTGAAAATAAGATGCCCAAAATGTCTCAAGATTAATTAATAACAAACTACAATTGCATGGAAAGCCAGAAAACACAACAGAGTAAACACTGCATGCATAATGAGCCTAATCTGACACAAACAACACACACAGTGAATCCAAACAGCACAGCGTGTGGAAGTGAGATGGCTGGATCACCCCAAACAGCATGGGGCGCTCTCTTGCCCTTCTCCAGAAATGTTCTCCATATTCAATCCTCATGCATCTCTGTGCATTTCAGGAGTAAAACTTTCAGTCATCAAATGACTGAGTAAATGACACAGCTGAACTGTCCTGGAACTGCCTGGTTTGTGCCGACACCTGGTCTTATGAGGCATACCATAGCCAGCCACGAAAAATGGAACCCAGATACTAACCCTGCACACACCTGAGGCATGATTACAAAGCTGTCTTACCATACTCCCCTAAAGGTAGACGGATGACAGATAGATGATAGATAGTAGAAGATAGAGACATAGATTGATAGACAGACAAATCCAGAGTACGGCATTGTAGACCCAATTACAACAGTTTTCTAAATTTCACTTTCAAATGCTGCCAACACTCTGTCCAATTTTACTGTGTGGAAATGACGTGCACAGAAGAAAGAAACGCAATCTGGCATTCTCCCAGCCCAACGGCCAGCTGGTCCACACAGGGGCTGAGTGAGTGAACGAGGTCGGGAACCTCTAAGGGCCAATGCGAGTCTCTGAGTGGCCGTGTGCATGCGTGTGCGTGTGGTAACTCTCTCAACTAGTCTGCGCACGTCCCCGGCCTAGACGGAGGGCGTCCATGTCACCTGAGCCCCACCTCACTCTGCTCAAAGCCATGTTGGTTGGATTTTGTCAAAAGCCTGGGTCTCCTGAAGCTCAACTGAGAAACACCCTCGTGAGCTCAGCCTCTCCGCAGGGCTGCCTGGCATTTTCTCATCAGTGCTGGGTGTGGGCACCGAGCACGTGCTGGCGACGCTGCCCCTGGGTGGAGAGCCCCGGGAGCAAGCCAGTAGCCAGCACTCCTCCAGGCCTCGGTTCCTGACCATCAATACTGAATTTTACACAGCCATTCAGAGACTCTGCATCTCACGTAGTTTATATATTGATTTACATATATTAATACACATAGTTTCATACATTATATAAAACTAAACATGAAGACCTTCGCATGGATCTCCCTCTACCTTCAGTTATAAAACAGACAAAGTGGGAACAAAGGCAATGGCTAGGAAAAAAATTATTTCTATGAATCATATAACAGAATAAAAATACATAAGAAATTTAATGAGTCATTTCCAATAACAATGTTTTACAAGTCACTGGAAATAACCATTCTCTGCCCAGAGAAGAATCTTTCCGTTATAGCGGAATTCACATCTGAAAGCAATTCCTCCTGGCAGTGTCATGGAAACAGTTGCCAGCGCCAACGACAAGAGAGCATTTTCATCAGTTGTGTTTAAAATATAACCACTGCCACTGTTACATTCTATTGATAGTGATTAGTAAACTATCTGGATCAAAGTCCCATGATTTATGTATTTCTAGCATCTCACTGCGTGACACAGGCTCCATCAACATTGACAGATGAAAAGCCGGCGTCCGCTGAGGAGGCAGCTCAGTGCGCAGCGGCTGCTGAGCAGGCTGCCCCACACGGCACCATGGTTTACCCTCAGAACAGGAACAGAGAAGGGAAGGAAGGGAAGGAGGAGGAAGGGGGAGACAGTAATTCCAACCCGAACTCTGTATCACCTAAAGGATTTGGGTCCAAAACCCAAAAAATAGAATAGAAATGTTTTAAGTCATACACATACTATTTTCATGACCACCCACTCTACCCGAATCTACATAAACTGAAGCACAGGCCTGCACGTCAGACAGGCCTGTCCCCGCTCGGTAAACGCCTCAGAGCTAGGAAATCCCATCTATTTACAGGCGGGTGGCAGGGATGATGCCCCAGCATGTAAGCCCACTGGAGGGCACTCGTCAGAATCTGGAAACCGTCAGGTTTGTACTGTGAATGCCTTCCCCCAAGCTTTAAAAAGGACGATGGCAGGGAGAGCTGAGCCCCACACCCTGGGGTGAGCCCTGTGGCTCACAGTGTCCGAGCTCATGGCGACACTGATGACGGCACCCAGGCCGGAAACCTGGCTTAAAGGCTCTGTCTGACAGTGCCCGTGCACGGACCTCACCGCAGCCAGCGGAAACCTGATCTAGGGCGGAAGGTGAAGGATAGGAGGTTTCCTCCTCCCCAACCTGAAAGGCAACCTCTGAGCAACAGAGTTTGATCATTAGATCAAATTCACCTTTACAACCAAATAAGTGAAACAATGACCTTATTTCCACACGGACCAGCAGTGCAAATATTGGTGAATGGCCACACCCGGCAAAGGACTGCGGCAGGAGGTCCCAGGCCGCAGCACTCCTCTGGACAGCCGCGGTGCCTTCTGGGTTTCTCTCACACAGAGGACGTGTGTCACCCCCAGGGACGTGCTACCACTTCTATCCACCATTCAGAAGGTTTTCACCACAGGAGTGTTCACGAACACCAAAAGCATTACGTCATCACATTCAGCCACCTAAAGAGCACAGTGTGCAAATTCGAGTATCCAACTGTCACACAGACCAAACTAATCACAGCACACAGAGCCCGGAAGGCAGCGGGTGGGGAACAGAAGTGGCCAAGACTGTCCACACAGGCAGAGAAAGAGCGTCCTCAGACATGGCGACGTCTTCCACAAGGCGAGTGTGTCAGACTCCACAAGGTATGGCCACCAGTCTAGCCACATGATCACACACGGAAACAGACGCTAACACGAGAATCTAGGAAGTTCATGCAGGGGAGCGCAGAAGTGACCTGCTGATGTTCACACACTGGGGGAGACGGTGTCTGAACAGCAGAACCACACCGGAGTGGCTGGCTGCGGCGCCAGAGCCTGGCCACAGCTTCCAGCTTGAGGTTTCCAAGGTGAAGCTTACTTAGCCCGCCGTGTCTGGAAGGAGTCCTGGGCCTGTGCCCTGGTTCACACACACACCTGCTCGGCCCCTCCCCCAGCCCGTCACTGTGACCCCACAGTCCTCTCTCCGAGTGCAAGGCAGTCCTAACCCGCAGAGATGCTCAGCCCCTGCAGTCCAGAGAGCCTCCCCCAGGTCTGCGCTCAGAACGGTGCTCAGCCCCCCGCAGTCCAGAGAACCTCCTCCGGGTTCACACTTCCAGAATGGCTATTAAAAAACTGGAAGTATTTTCAACAAAGTCCTTTATCCAGAGAATCTCACCACTCTCTGCCTTGTAAACTGCACCTGTGATTTGAAGCTCTGAAATCAGGACACTTTGTCTGGCATGGAACTCCCCCCTAAACTTCTCGCCAGTGAGCAGGAAGGAGCTGTTCAGGTGTACAAGGTGCGTGTGTGG